TTTGCTGTGGGTGTAACTTTGGACAGATGAGTTACCTAGAATGACCTCTAAGAAGTGATATGCTTCTCCTCACTCCCATTTCCATCACAGGGGGAATAGCCAGGGAGAAAGGATTGCATTTCAAGGGACAGCTTGGAGCGCAGGCTCGGGGACCTTAGCAGTAGAGTTAGGTGTCTGTAGGCCAAGGGCCTCAGGAGATATGAATGCAAACATTCTATCACATCTTCTCAGGATTTCCTACAGAAGAGAGATCTGCAGTAATAGTCCATGGTGGAAAATGAACCAAGTGTTATCTTCATGGATTTATTGATCTATGAGGTGCCCTGAATCAGGACCCCGATCTCCCTCATCTGTGGGTGGAATGTCCTCACTACCTGCCATCCCTTATTATCACCTCTCTTCTGAGACCTAAGGTCCAAGTCATATCTCCTCCTTTAAAAAAACAAAACAACAACAACAAAAAAACAACTCAGTGAGGGATAATTTGCACATTATAAAACTCACCTCACCTATTCTTAGTATTCCATTCAATGATTTTTAGTAAATGTACAGAATCATATAGTCATCATTATGATCCCATTTTAGAATAACTTTATCACCCCAAAATGTTTCTTTGTGCCTACTTATGGTCAATTCTGCTTGCCCTTTCAACCCCAGACAACCACTAATTGATTGGTTTTCTGTGTCTCCAGATTTTCCATTTCTGGAAATTTCATATAAATGGAATGATACAATATGTAGCACATTGTGTGTGGCTTCTCTCACATAATGTTTTGCATAATGTGTTAATGTTGTAGTCTGTATCACTAGTTGGCTCCTTTTCTTTTTTAAATAGCTGTCTATTGCATGGCTAGACCAGTTTGCTTTTCCTTTCTTCAGTTGATGGACATTTGGATTGTTTCTGGATTTGGGCTATTTTGTGTAATTCTGCTGTGAATGTGTAAGTCTCTGTGTGGACACATGTTTAGAAACTCTTGTGTAGATATCTGGATATGGAATTGCTGATTGTATGGTACATATATGATTAACTTTATCAGACGTTGCTACATTGTTTCCACAATGGCTCAATCATATTTCATTTCCACGTGGACCAGGCTTCTATGCCTCCATAGAAGAGTTATTGTTTTTTTTTTTTTAATCTAGTCATTTTAATGAGGGTTCAATGTAACTCAATTTGGTTTTAAGTTGCATCTCTTTGGTAACTAAGGATGTGAGCATTTTTTTTTTCATGCACTTATTAGCTTTTCCTTGTTTTCTTTGGTGAAGGGTCTTCGAATCTTTTGGCCATTTTTAAATTGGATTGTCTTCCTATTATTGGGTTATTCAAGTTTCTTATATATCTGAAAGCAAGTACTTCATCAGGTCTATGTTTTACAGCCTTTTTCTCTCAGTGACTGCCTTGTCCTATTCTTTTCCTCACTGGTTTTTACAAGAGCAAATTTTTAATTTTGATAAAGTCCCATTTATCCAACTTTTCTTTGATGGATTATGCTCCTGGTGTCATATCTAAGAATTCTATACCCAATTCAATATAACTAAAGTTTTTTCCTTATGTTTTCTCCTCTAAGTTTTATAATTTTATATCTACATTAAGTCTATAATTCATTTTGAGTTGATTTTTGTACACAGTATGATGTATCATCAACATTTTTTTCTTTTTCTGCATATGAATATCTAATTGTCACAATGCCATTTGTTGGAAAGACTATCCTGCCTCCATTGACCTGACTTAGCACATTTGTCAAAAATCAATTGACTGTAAAGGTAAGGCTTTATTTCTGGACTCTCAGTTCAGTTCCATTGATCTCTTTGCCCATCTTCTGACAATCAATGTTTTGATTACTGTAGCTTTATGGTAAGCTTGAAAATGAGTAGTATACATCCTTTGACTTATTCCTTTTTTTCCAGATGGTTTCAGCTCTTCCATTTTCTTTGCATTTTCATATGAATTTCAGAATTAGCTTGTCTATTGCTACAAAAACAATCCCTCCTGAGTATATTACAGGTATTATGTTGAATTATAGATCATTCTGGGGAGACTTGTTATTTTAATAATAATGAATCTATAATTCATGAATGTAAAATGTATTTCTATTTATTTAGCAATATTTTGTGGTGTTTGTTGTACAATTTCTGTCTTGCACTTGTTCTGTTAGATTGATTCCTAAGTATTTTATTCTTGATATTATTCTAAATAGAATTCTTAATTTCATTTTGGGATTGTTCTTTGCTAATATATAGAAACACAATTGATTTTATACATTTCTGTATTCTGTACCTTGCTAAATTTTTTTTATTAATACTAACAGATTTTTTGTGTAGATTTCTTAGGATTTTCTACATACAAGATTATAATGTTTGTAAATAAAGGCAGTTTTTTTTCTTCCATTCCAACTGATATGCCTTTGATTTTTTTTCTTGCCTTATTAAACTAACTGACATTGATGCAAAGTTGAATAAAAGAAATAACAATGCTTGTCTTTATTCCCAATCTTAGCAGGAAAATGTTCAATATTTTATCATTAAGTACGATATGAGCAATAGGTTGTGTGTAGATGTACCTTTTTCAGGTTAAAAAAATTCCTTTGCATAACTAGTTTGATAATAGTTCTTATCATGAATGTTGAATTTTATTAAAGACTTTTTTGCATTTCCTGAGATACTTACATGAATTTTGGTTATTATTCTATTAATTTAGTATATTATATTAGTTGATATTTAAACACTAAATCTTATGTTCCCTGGTTAAATTCCACTTAGAGATAGAACATAATTCTTTTACTATGTTTCTGGGTTAAACCTGCTAAAAATTTAAGGATTTTTTTCACATATATTGATGAGGGATATCAGTCAGATTTTTCTGTTCACGAGATGTCTACCTGATTTTTGTATCAGGGGAATACTAGGTTCATAGAATGTGTTTGGAAGAGTTTCCTGCTACTCTTTTCTGAAAGTGTTTGTGAAGAATTAGAACTATTTCTTTTTTAAACATTTGTTAGAATTCACCATTGAAGCCATTTGGGCTTGATATTTTCTTTGAGCAAGATTTTAAATTAATAATTTAATTTCTCTGGTTTAGGCTTATTTGGATTTTATAGTCTTGAATTAGTTTAGGTAAATTATGTTTCTGTAGAGATTTGTCCATACACTTAAGTTGTCCAACTTGTTGGTATAAAGCTGTTCACAATATATCACAATCCTTTAATGTTGAGGTTGGTAGTGTTTACCCTAATTTTTTCCCCTAATTTTAATAATTTGTGTCTTTGTTTTATTTTTTGTTTAGTCTAGCTGGATTCTCAATTTTGTTGTTCTTTTTAAGAAATGGTTTGGGTTTCTTAAGTTTTTTTCTACTGTTTTCCCTTATTGTTTTTTGCTTAAACTTTTCTATTTTCTTTCATCTGCTTGATTTGGGTTTATTTAGCTCCTCTACTTCTAGTTCATTATGGTAGAAGTTTAGATGCTGATTTAATATCATTCTTCTGGTCTAATGTAGGTGTTTACAGCTAAATATTTCCCTCTATTCTCTGCTGTAGCTGCATTTCATAAATTTGAATGGGCCAAGTTTTCATTTTTGTTCAGTTCAAAATATTTAAACATTTTTCCTTCTGATGTTTCATTTGACAAATGGGTTATTTAGAAGTGTTTGGTTTAATTTCCAAGAACTTGGTGATTTCCAAACTTCCTTATGTTGTTGATTTCTAATTTAAGTGCATTGTGTTTGGAGAACATACTTTTTATTATTTTGAACCTTTCATATTTATTGAAATTTGTTTTATGGCCTAGCATATGGTCTGTTCTGCAGAATGTTCCATGTGTACTTGAAAAGAACGTCTATTCTGCTGTCACTGGATGGAATGTTCACAAACATCACTGAGATCCATTATTGTTTAGGTCTTCAGTATCCTTGTTGATTTTCTATCCTGTTGTTCAATCAGTTATTGAGAATGTGACATTAACTTCTCAAACTGTCATTTTTGGGCACTGGCATGTCTTGCTTAGGTTATTGTAATAGCTTGGAATTCCCCATCCACCATCTCAGCTTAATTTTTCTCCTCAGGACTTATCATCATCTGACTTAGTATTTATTTTATTGTATACTAAATAAATATATCATCACTGATATATACCTATCACCTAGAATAGTCCCTGACATGTATTTGTCACTCAAAATATTTGGTGGATGAATAAATGCATCACCAAACAAACGGGGAAGTGTAAGACTTTCCATCCTCACCATCTGGAGGATATCTGAAATAGATTAATATCCATGGAATGCTGAGATGGACTGGGGCAAAGGGTGGGAGATATAAAGGATACCCACTGCTTTGAGCCATAGGAAGAAATTCTCCCTTTCCCTTATTGCTTGTCCTTGGGTTTTATCTTTCTTGAATTTTCTAGTAATCATAGTGGTAGGCACTTGAAGACCAGAACTAGGTGCAGGTCTTAAGGAAATAGACCACAGTGCTTGATTTTGATCCAAGCTATTTGGCTTTATTCTCCAGGCAAAGGAATCCCTGTGGCCCTGTGCAGCTCAATAGAGTTTGATTCCCAGCAGAGAGGACAAAGAGGGGCTAACCCTTCAGAGCAATCAACACAGAGGTTTCCCCTGCATGTGTACTTTCCTCTCCTGAGCCTTAAAGAAGCTGTCATAGGAAGCAGGTCCAAGACTGAGTGTTCATTTTCCAGCCAAATATCATTCCATCCTAGCATGATTGACATGTCTACTCAGATATACATCTTGACATAGCTTTTGAAACTTAAACTTTATCCTGCTTTGGAGGGCTATGTTATACAACATCTTAGGAAAAAAGGAAAAACAAAACAGAATCCAGCATATGCTAGTTAATGGTGGTTGGCATGTTTCAAGATACTTTACAAGTATCTGGCAAGTCCAGATACTTTGCATAATCCATATGCTTAATCAATTCAAAAGATTGGCTGATATTTTCCTTTTACTCATGAAAGTTATACCTGAGTCTTTTTTTTTTTTTTCCTTATAGAGCCTGTATAACAAATGGGAGTTCAGGGGAGAGGTCTGCCCTGGAACGGAAGTTTCGGCACCATATATAAATAGACAGTAATTGAAGATGTGAAGATGGATCACAGTCCGTGGAGAGTGAGAAGAGACAAACACATAAGACAAAACACTGAGGAATGATAATATTTAGTGGCTGAGTAGAGGATGATAAGCCTGATGCTGAGAAGGAGCAGCCAGAGAGGTAGAAGGAAAAGTGGGATGGTATTATATGTGGGAAGGTATTGGAACTTTTCTGAAAACTTGCAATTGTCCTTGCTTTGGGGAGTCTAACTCCTGGTTAAGCACCTATTATTAATAATAAATTCTTTATACGTGTGGTGCTAGGGATTGAGCTCAGGGCCTTATGCCTACTAGGTAAGCACTTTACTATTGAGCTACACCCCCAGTAATAATAAATTCTCCTTAGTTAAATGAGAATTGAAATTGTTCTTGACATCAAACATGTAGTTCTCAGCCTGAGGTACCTAGAACACCAGTGGCATGGAGACTTTGTGTTAACAGCACTCAGTGTTTTCATGAAAATGATTGTCCTCCAATCTTTTGTGTCACTCTGCAAGTGTGACATACTCTACTGATGACCCCATTATTCACCTATGACATTTTCATATTGTAGTAGTAATTTGAATATTTAACTACTGGTGAAACATGACAACAAAAAATATACAAATAAAGTTCAACTATTGCAACAAGTTTCCTGGTAATGAAATCATTTCTTATTTTGTGTTTAATATTTGTGGTAATAAATCACCAGTGAATTTTTATTTTAGTTCCTTCATCTCAGTAGCAAATTAATTTGTAAGGAGAATACTATTTTGTTTGGTTCATTTATTCACTCATTCATCTATCAACATATACTAGGTGCTACTGCATGCCAGACCCTGGGAATGTAAAGAAATTAAGGCCTAGTTCTCAAGTTCTGGTGTGCATCAAAACTACTGGCAAATCTGTTAGTGATACACACATCCCAACTCTACCCCTGACGTTCAGTGGGTCCAAGAATCTATTTTTTATAACATGCTTTTCATGTGATCTGATGTTCAATAAAGTTACATAACCATCGGTCTATGTAAAAACATTTAATAAAAAACCGAATGTAATAAAATGTAAGAGTGTTAGAAATACATATAGGATAGAATGTATATTAAATTTTGTGTCTTACCATAGAATCTGTATACTTAACAATATATTGAGATTCTCAATGGTAATGGAGTTTTTTATTAGGGTTTTAATGCTGTAGCAATATGATTTATTTCTATTAATATATTGCAGAAATTTTGAATGTTCTTAAAATGATCATAAAGGTAAGATAACACTATAAACATACAATATTACTATATTGATGCATATAACTTATTCTAGTAGAATTGAGGAAAGGATTTGATAGTTTATACTAAAAACTCTAGGGAGCTGTTCTATGTTGTTACAGAACTAGTTCTTTCATAAATAAGAGCGTTCTTTTTTCCCCTTTGTCTACTAAGCTCTTTTGCAGACTGTTGATACAGAAGGTTCCAGTATCATTGGAAAAGTAATCATAGTGGTTTTTCTACTGAAACTCCAGCAATGATACAAAATGCAAAACTCTGGGTCTTGCACTGAGAGAAATGAGCTTTCTTTGAAAGAATAATTGGTGTTTATTTCTTAAAAGGAGACACTCATTCACCATGTCATTTACAAGGAAACCTTGGCTATGAGGGACAGATCAGCCTACTCCCATTGGAGAGAAGCTGTGATGTTCTTTGATTTCAAGACTTGGTGGGAAGAGATACAGATTACAAGCAATTATTTAGCAAGTCCAAGTCAAAGACTGAGTGAAAACAACACAGGAATTTGGAAACACTTCTGAAATTTCTTCAAACTACCTCTGCAGAATGTCTCTTGGTCTCTTGAAGTAGCACTTCATGAAATGAGCCAAGAAGGATTAGATCATCACTGGAATTCCTATTATCCCACTCCATACAGAGAAACTACACATCCCAGACTCCTTTGCAGCATATATGGTCATATGACTAAGTACTAGCCAATAGAATGTGCATGGAAGTGATGTGCACCACTTTTAGAGTTATAAAATATTCCTACTGTGGTTCCCACACACCTTCTCTGTCTGTTACTGGATGATGACACCCAGGCAGTCTTGGAAGCCACAAATTGAAAATGGCAGGGCCTCTGGCAGCCTGGGTCCTTGGATGACTCAATGGAGTAGAAACTACCCATCCCCTCTCTTTCCCATCCCAGTGTCAATGGATTTTGCTGGCGGAAAAAAAAAAAGACGTTTTTGCTGTGTTAATCCTCTGAAATGCTGGAGTATATTTGTCACAGAGTGAGCCTTTTCTAACTAGCCCAGGAAGTGAGGACATAGGCAAGACTGTACCATGAAGACCATGCACGGGACTATTGATTCTGGAAGCCAGAGTCCTGAACATGGTTCCATAATTCTCCTGAAGATGTTGCCCCATCGCAATTTCCCACTAAAACTGTATAGGAAAGCCTCCTCTGACTCTGGGGGACTGGGTTTAGTCTTCAAGAACAGCTCGTGAGCCAACATTTCTCCTGGCCTTCAGAATGTGGTCCTAGCACCACATAAAGCATAAATCAACACTCAGAAAATCTAACTCCAAAATATGAAGAGAACAAAATGGGATAGAAGGAAACCAGAGGCACAGCCACACAGGAACATGACATGTAGCAGAGAAAGCACCAGGGCCCAGGGCCATCTCAAGGCCCCTCATGCCTTGCCACAGACTGGCCAGCTCTGTCAACTAAGTTTAACGGACAATCCTCTAGGTCTTTTAAATGTCTTATTGTAAGGAAGTCATGGAGAAAATTTCACAATGTTCAGAGGCATCCTTACTGGTTATGAAGAAGGTTTGTCTTCCCTTTAAAGATGGCAGTTGAGGCTTCTACCCATGGAAAGTCACTCTTACACTCTAACACCTTATTCTGAGTGAGCAGCTTTCTCTGGGTATTTATGATACTGCCCATTTCAAATATGATCTTGGCATGTAGAAAAACTATTTGCAACTTGAATTTATTTTAACTTTAGTTTTGTTCTTATCCAAAATATTCCTCTAAGCCTTAAAACCTTTGGTCACTTGGGGTATCTTTCTCTCTCCTCCCTGTCCCATTGAGTAAAATGGCCGCCATCTGTGCCAGAGTTGTTTTACACCAGGCCTTGTGCATGGCCTTTATGTGCTTTAACTTCATCTTCATGTGAAGTGGACACTATCATTATCCCCATTCTGCAGATGAAAAAATGGAGGCATCAAGTGGTTAAATAGCTTGGCCATGCTCCTACAGCTAGGAAAGGGCAAAAGCATGGCTCAGAGGCCAGCACTGACCCCCAAGCCTCTGCCCTTAACCATTGTTCTATGCTGCCTCCACTGGTATTCAGCAGAGTTTTGCTGGTGTAGGAGATCTCTCGGGAGGCTAGTGAATCCTTCAGGAGGGCCAATAAAGCGGTGAGTCCACCAGACCTTCAAGTTTGCAACCTTTTCTTTATTCCCGAACAGTTTCCCAGGGTAATTTGGGCAGCTCTCAGCAAGGTGCTGGGTTCTGGCATGCTGATATCCTGGGGCTGTTGCCACAATCTTCCAGGAAGGAGAAGCTAGAAGAGAAGCTTGTTGGCTCCGGCACGTTCTTAACGAGCAGGAGAAGAGCTGTTCTGTGGGTCCAATCTGTCACTGTGTCTATATTTAGCACCATCTGCCAGGAATATTTCCAACTGCCTATTTTAGTACACGCCGCTTTGTGCAAATGCGACTGTCCACCGGCAGCTCCTGGGAAACCAAGGGCACTAAGTGGATTTTCTGGTTTTTATTTTGTGTTGAGAGTTGGCCCTTCAGTCAACCTTCAGATGAGATATGGCAGAGGATGGGGGCAGGGTTTTCCCATGATGCTAGTCCCAGGGGCCCTCAATTTTAGTGGCTCAAAAGTCATCTGTGGGTGGCAGTGTCAGAGGAGGTGGAGGTGGTTGTCAGTGGTGTTGCAGAGGAAAGGAACAGAAAAGGCCCAAGGTCCTTTTGCAGATCCCTGAGGCAGTGACGGCCTTGCCCATTTCAGAGTTCCCCACTGCGACTCTGAAATCAGAACAGTTTCCGGCAGCTCAGCCAGCTCCCAGCTGACCCATCTCAGTAGAAAGTGGGGGCTCCCACTTACTGGTGACTTCCGCTGTGCCAGTGTCCAGTGCTTGCACCAGTGTTTCTGCCATAAACCTCCCTCTGAGGGAGCTTCTAATATTAGTTCCATTTTACAGATAAGGAAACTGAGCCTTAGAGAGAGTTGTGGACTTGCCTAAGGGCACATTGTTTGCAAGTGAAGGACTCAGAATTCAAACTTAGGCCCACCTAACGTCAGATCTCATGGTTTCCACCATCATTTTTGTACTGACCAATTCTATACATTCAACCTATCCAGTTTCTTCCCCCAGTTATAGACTGCAGCGTTTTTTCTTTTGTTTTGATTTTTATTTTTTTGCATGTATTTTGATCTCCAACTTATTTTCCAGGCTTATTTTCAAGTTCCTCATTGAATTCGAGGAACTCTGACCACAAGTTTGTTTTCCAGCTCCCATTGCAACCAGGCTGTCTTCCCTGGATAGCCCTCCCACATGTGCCACAGGAATAGCATAACAAGGTAGTGTGACAACAGGGGTTGTCCCCAGCCTTGGGTAAGGACAGGTTGGTGGGAACAATAGAGCAGCCTTCTGAGAGATGTGCTCAGAAGGGTTCAGAATCTGGCTCCATAGATGGCAAGGGCCACTTGGAAAAGGAATTGCCACTAGGCCTGGGGCTAGACTGAGAAGACCGACCATGGAGGGAGGAGGCTTATTGACCCCCTGTCCTGGGTGACCTAGCAATCTTGAGAGTAGCTAAACCCAGGAAATTCCTAAATTCTTATCATAGAAAAATCTCAAAAAGTATATGTACTTTTAAAAAAATAAGCACTGTTCCGGAGATCAATTTTCATTATCTCACCCTAGGATGAAGGTTAGGAGCACTGATTGCATGCACGCTTGGGGAGGTGGGGCACTGAGTCTCTGGGCCATCCAGAGACTGAAGAATGGGAATGGCACATAAATAAAACTAAAAATCATATCTTTGACCATCAAACACCATCCTTTCTCATTATATATTCATATATAACAAGACACCCTTAAGATTAGTGGTTTAGGACTAGAGCCATCATTTATTATTATCTCCCATGGATTTTGGGAGGCTGACGGGTCTTGGTTGGTGGCTCCTGCAGTTGCCATCAGACAATGAATGGGGTAGAGTCATCTCATAGACTTCCCCCACTGGCTGTCAGCAGGGTCTGGGCCTCCCCTCAGCATGGAGACTGTGCTTCCACAAGGAGAGAGAGGCCAAGAGAATGAGGCAAATTCTGTATTGCCTTTTATGACCTTAGTCTTAGAAGTTGTCAGAAGTTGCACAATGTCACAGTACAATCCCACCATAATCCTAGTCAGTAGAAATGCAAGAGGAGAGAACACCGATGTATTTATTAAAGGGAGGAATGTCAACACCCATTTGTAAGAAGGACTTGTGGTGTGGGCTACATACTGTGGTGGCCATCTGGAAAAATACAACTTGTAACACCAATGGCATTGGACTAGGGAAAGAACTTGGATTTAAAACAAATTATGCGGAGCCAGTGTCAAGAGAATCAAGAGTCCCAGCAGTTCTTTTGTCTATTC